CCACAGGAGCTAGTGAGCTCATTACAGCTTGGATCAGAGTCCTGGAAAAGCAGCTGCTGGGGAGACTGGAGGCCAGCCTCCCATGGGCCACGGGAATGAGGAGCTTCAGTATATTAAACTGCATGCATATTTTAGCTACACAGTCATCTCAAGCTTCAGTCCAGGACAGTGTCACATTGTTTGCAGCTGTGTCACATCTTGAGGTTTCTATGTGCATCCTACACACTTTCACGAGAGCAGACTTCTCTCTCCCAGCTGTAAACCAGAGGGGGTGGTGCAGCAGATCCTTAGCAACACTTGCAGCCTTAAGGTGGCTCACTCTTTTGAGTAGGACTTTCAGGATGCTAGAAATCCATTGTGATTTGCTGATGATTCCTGGATGTGTCCTTGGATGGCTTCCGTAGAATTATGTTGGAATCTAGCCATGCTCCTTGCTAGTTTCTTCTGATATTCCTGACTCACTGTTGAAGAATGGGTTAGACTGTGGTGCATGGCAAACTGGTAGCAGAAGGCATGTTCTTCACAGTGGTTTGGAAGTGCAGTGATGGAAGGGTGTCAGGGAGGATTAACTGGAGGCAGAATGTGTCATAATTAGAAGGATCTTGAAGACAGGAAAGTTAGAACTGCTTTAGGGAAGCTGATATAGCATAGCTACTGCAGGAGTGTTCCAGATTCTTGTCTCTTGATATTTTTGCCCAGTGATCCAAACCCTGGAAGAATCACATCACTCTTTTCTCTCTCATTTGGAGCCCTGGCTCTTAAAATTTGCTAATTCTTGATATGAACTCTGAGATTTGGATGGGGTGTCTGAGCTTATTTGGGCCATTTGAATTCTAAATAGAACCATGAGAATTGGCAACGGGAGTCAAACTGGGGTCATCAGAGAGGGATCTTGGAGTTTTGAGAGAGAGTGAATAGGAAACTGAGGAAAACAGTTAAGAGGCTGCTGAAAAAGGATTAGAAAGAAAAGAGAAAATAAGAGAAACTCTGTACCAGTAACAGTGAGCAAGGCCATTGCTTGCTACATGGCATAAGTAAATGGATCAAAGAAAATTTGAGGTTGGAGGCTCATTCTATGGAACCTGCGATAGGCTGCTATTTGGGGAAAACATTTGACCATCTGCACCCGTTTGTGTGTTGCTTATTTTATAAAGAGTCAGAGGGACTTGATCATGACTATGTGTGAAGGAAGTCCACTTGCAAGCATACGAAAAACCTGATTGTACTGCTCGATGCTGTAACACCAGGCTGGAGCGGAGGGCAGGAACTGATTTCCTATGAATTAATGCCACAAGACAGCTGTTAGCATGAATTGAGACCATTCAGAGAAGTAAACATTGCTAAATGGGGACAAGAAGCAGGGGAATAACTCTGCCTCTTGGGGGAGACAAGGAGGAAAACTAGAGAGACCCAGAAAATTAAGATCTCTACCAGAGAACAGGTCAAGGGAAGTTAATTTACTTTAAGAAGGATCTTACACATATAATATCTTTCAAGATGACTTGTGTGTGTGTGTGTGTGTGTGTGTGTGTGTGTGTGTGTGTGTTTCTTTTAGGAAAGGGTCTTCAGGGTATTCAGGGTCTCACTACTAGATCAGACTCCTATCGTAGTGATCTGCCTGTTTACAGTATCCCAAGAGCTGGGATTACAGGCACACACCACCACGCCCAGTCCCAATTGCTGCTCGATTACTGTCTCAGCGCGCTCCAGGGGAGGGGCCGGCATGGCATGGCAGGCCCAGGGATCGAATCCCTGGCCCCTGTGCCTGCTTGAAGGCACTTTAATCCACTGAGCTATTTGGCCGGCCCTCAAGATGACTTTGAATGCTTTTAAATTATTGAATATCTTGTTGATGTTCATCAAACAGGGGACCAGCAGGACACAGTAGTGCTGGCCTGTAATGTGAGCTACTCAAGAGCCCGAGGCAGAAATGTTATAAGTTCAAGGCCAGCCTGGACAACTTTTATGTGGTCCCATTCCAAAATAAAGGAGAGGAAGGATGTGCTGGTTGTAGTTCAACTCTTTCTGAGTTTAATCCCTAGTACTGCTGTAAAAAAAAAAAGTGGTGGAGGTGAGTGCACAGGTTCCCAGACATACTAGATAAGAAAATCTAGGGTACATCTATATTTTTAAATGAGCCCTCCAGTCAGACTTGAAAATGATGAATCTTATAGCAGGGTTCTATCAATCATCTCATTCAGTCATGCAACTAAGATCCAATAAACCTCAGCTGGATTGTTTGGATTCCAGCCTAGGGCACCATTTCCAAAGATGTAGGAGTTACTAGATTCTTCTTAAACCCAGTTCATGTTTCTAAATCTTTTTCAATAATCCTCATATTTTGCAAACTACTAATATCACCAGTGCAAGCCTGTCTAACATTAATTAGGATAATTAATGAAACCCCTAGCGTAATAGGAGCTAAATATAGCTGAAGCACTAATAGTGGCCACCTCTAGAGTGAGGCTTTTTGATTAATTGCTAGCCAGCCACCCCTGGAGTGTGCATTCCTGATTAAGACAACTGACCACCTCTACAGCGTAGCTTAAGCTAACACACTCATACATCATGTTGTCCTGTCCACGTGAGGGTTTCTTTTTAAACCCTTACCATTTACTTTACTATGGCATAATTTAAACACCATAAGACACTTCCATATTAAGTGCACAGTTTGACAAACATACACTTCTGTAACTGCCAATCAAATATATTTCAGCCAACTAGAAAATACCTTTGTATTCATTTGTGAACGGTTCAACCCATCCCAACACAGCTCTCTTATGAGTATGTTTTGCCAAGTATATAGTTTTAGAATAAATGCCAAACCTATCTTAGTGTGGTTCAGGTCAGTTTATATTATTGAATTATCTGTAGTTATTTGCTTTTCTACTGCAGGGTAGTGTTCATTGCGTGACTCTGCCACAGCTTGTGTCTATCTAACAGCTCAGTGTTTTGTTTCCGGGGTTTGGCGAGTGTGAATAAAGCTGCTGTACGCATCTTTTTGTGGACATGTTGTTTATTTCTTTTGGATAAAATTTAGGAATAGAATATGTGGGTTGTCAGGCAGATACATGCTTGCTTTCATAAGCAACAGCTAAATTGATTTCCCAAGATTGCACTATTTTACATTCCTACTGGCCGTGAATAAGAGTTCCAGTTGCTCCATATCTTCACCATTATATATGGTAATGTCAGTCTTGAAAAATTTATGTATCATAGCTTAAAATAAATTAGACATTGTTTTCTTCTCCCTAATTTAAATTCAGGCTTTTAGGTTTGGTGTCTGCATAGACATAAATGTTGATCCAGTAAAGTTGACCTAAGAGACTTGAGGTATTGATTAAATTATTGTCTGTTAAGATCATTAGAGGGCCGGCGGTACAGCTCAGCGGACTAAGTGCTTGCTCAACGAAGCGCAGGACCAGGGTTTGATCCCTGGCTCCAGTTGCTGCGCCGGCCCCGCCCTGGGGCATGCTGAGCCGGTGATGGAGTCCGGGCGCAGTGGCGCGTGCCTGTAATCCCAGCCATGGGGAGGCAGAAAGCAAGAGGATCACTACAACCCATGTAGTGAGACCCTGCACAGAAAAAAAAAAAGAAAGAAAAAAAAGATCATTAGAAGTAGTTTATGGGTGCCCTTTAATTAGGTCAGTTAATCATGTCTACCATGATTTTTACTTTAAAATATGACATTTTTTTATTCTTCTGTTCATTTATTCATTCAGCCTTTTAGTCAGTCACCTAGCTGGATCAGGCCTGCTGTTTGAGGTAGTGGTTATGTATTAAATTTCTGAAAAATACACGGGAGTAGGTGATGGAGTTCTTGTAGGAGCTTTTTGGAGCTGTTTTTTTTTCTAAACAAATATACAAGAAACACTAGAAAAGAAATATAGCCAGTGGTGTCTCAAGCCTAAACTAAGGACATTCTCTGAATATGGCTTCCTGGTAGGTGATTTTAGTCACGGCTTAAGAGATAAATATAGAAAATAGTAGAATAAATCGTTGAACTGTTATTCTTTGCTAAATATCAGAGTGATTGTGCTGTAGAATATAAAACTAGTTGTTGACCAAAGAGTACAAAATTTCAGTCAGCAGGAATAACTTCAAGAAATCTGTTGTACAGTTTGGTGGCTAGAGCTAATTATGAAATATTATATTATTGAAAAACTCTGAGAGATAAATGTTAGGTGTTCTCACCATAAAATACTAACTTTCTGAGGTAATGTGTATTAATTAGCTAGGTGCAACCATTCCATGGTGTATATGTAGACAGTAAAACATGCTGTACATGATAAATACATTACGATGTTGTGTTGTCTTAAAGAAAAATATTTAAATTTGTTTTAGTTTCAGTTGCATGTCAAACTCCATTTGATACAGAGGTACATGTGTCAAGTAAGAAATGCTCAAAATGGTAACAGGACCTATCTTTTGTAATATGAGATTAAGGATGATTTATTTCCTCGGCATTATATTTCCTTTTAATTTTGCAATTTTCCACAGCAAGGATGTGTAATTTTTTTTCGTTTGTAACTTTTATAACCAGTAAAGTCATTGTATTGGTATTTGGTTGTTGGCTAAGTTCTTATAGGTATTTCTATTATGTATTCCTTGTTCTCTTTACTCTTGTGCAGCACAGACTCACTACAGTGGATCTAGATTACAGCCTAGGAAGAAAAACAATGGCTGTCCTTCTTTTCCCTTTTGGGAGCAAGGACCACATGAATGTCCTGCAGGCTCTGGCTCTGTAGTCCTTTACAGAACTTAACCTTCCTGATTGTCAAAGGACGGAAGGATTCCCCCCCCACAAAACTCCAGATCAGCAGAATTTCAGCCCCCTCCCCAAACTTGGAGCATAAACATGAGATTTTTTTTTTCTTTTTGAGATTTTTTTTGTAACCTATTTTTATAGTTGCTGGTAATTCATGGGGGGGGTGCTTTTGTCTGTGCTTTCTGATGTGAAATAACAAAATGATCTCTTGTTTCCTCCCTTTTCTCTTCAGCTGACCTGAATAATGTGAGGTTCTCAGCCTATAGAACTGCCATGAAGCTCCGAAGACTGCAGAAAGCCCTTTGCCGTAAGTATTAATCAGCACTTAAAAATTTTACTCAGTTTGCTTAAAAAGGAAAAAAAAAAAAAAAAAACGAGCGACTTGCAGGTATCTTTCCCGGTATAAGTTAGCTTGCACAAGGTCTGTTGCCACATAGCTCTCATTCTTTAAGTGTCTTGGGGCTGGGGATCTTGCTCAGTGGTAGTGTTTGCCTAACATGCATGAGTTCCTGGCTTCAATTCCTAGTGCCACCAAAAACATCCCTCTTTTCCTCAGAATTAGACTTAGTTTGAAAATAATCAGCTTTGAAAACCAGAGATCAAAACTGCCAGCCCAGTCAGCCTACTGTCATCACTATTCGCTTGCTCAGTGGCTAGGAAGGGAGGTTAGGCAAGGGCAAGCTACCTGGGACCAGTATTTTTGATTTCTAGTTTTCAAGGCTGAGTATTTTCTAGCTAGATCTTATTTTTGGGAAAATGCACAAGTATCTACTTTTGGCTTAGTGTTAATCCTCCACTATTATATTTAGAATTATTTCTGTGAGTACTCCTCAGCTATTATATCGCTAAGATACTGGTATTTTTTTATTTGTAATAAGTGACATCAATTTCTGTAATTATCTTTATGAAACTTGTATTCTATCTCCCATTACATTTTTCTTCTTCTTGCAAAGTGTATGTAGTGATAGAAGGTTATGACTAACTTATCCAAACCAAGTTCACACATGTGTTTGCATGTTAATATTTAGATGAATGCTGTGTTGGAGAAAAAAATGACTGAGTTGCTTTTCTTTTTACCATCTATTTATGGAGAAATCCTAAAGTATTCGATAGTCTTTTCATCAGATAATTTATATATACATTCTGTTATCAACAAAGTGAAGCTGGTCATGGTGGTACATACCTGTAATTCCAGCACTTTTGGAGGCTGAGACAAGAGAATTGCATGTGCGGGCCTAGCCTGGGCAGTTTGGTGGATTATTAAGACCTTATGACATTATCAATAAAACTTTGAAAAGAAAAAAAAAAAGACCTTATGACAGCAAGGGCCTGAGTTCAATCCGTAGTTCCGCCAAAAAATAAAAAATAAAAAAAAGACCTTATCACAAACCAAAACAAAAAATAGCTAGGGACATAGCTCAGTGACATAAATGCCTGCCTGGGAAGTGCAAGGTCTGAAGTTCGATCTGTGATACCAAAAAAAAAAAAAAGTATTATGAAAGGTCTAGAGATAGAGCTTAGTACAAAGGCCCTGGGTTCAATCTCTAGTATTGTGCCTTAAAATTTAAAAAGTGATTTATGGTGTAATGTTGCTTGGTTGTCCCTATGCATTGATGATATCTCCAAGAAACAGACAGTCGTAGTCCCTACCATGAACGAACTTCCGATGTAATTAAGAAATAGCCAGGGAATCTATCAAATATGTAGATTTAGGCAGAAGTATATGTAAAGTCATCAAAACTGTCCATGATGTAAGTAAAAACCTAGAGGTGGTATCACTATTTTTAGGCTATATAGAGGCACTTAAGAAAAGTACAAGATAATTTCAGCATCACTTATTTAGTTGTGTCATAGTGGAATAATGGGGTGCTTTGTGAGGTGGGGTTCAGAGGACGTTTGCAGTGCTTGAGTGGCAGTGTGTTAGGTAGGTGAGTCCAGAGAGGTAAGTAGAGTCAGAAGGAAGGCTTGTGTTCTGAGGGCCTGAGTGCAAACAAAGCATGATGCACCGTAACTGAAAATACCTCAGTGTGGCGAAAGCACAGAATTCCACAGAGGGCTATTGTGAAATATTAGGCTGGAGACAGAAGCAGAAGGCAGATTGTGAAAGGCTTTGAAAGCAAAGTTAAAAAATTTAGAGGTCAGTGGGGAGCGGTTGGAGAGATTTTGGCAATGGAGTGACATGATCAAATTTTCATTTGGAAAAATAAATTTGGCTGTGAAACCAAGCATTGATTAAGGGATTGTGTGACTGACAGGAGAGAGACCTGTGGTAGAAATAGAAACTGGTAATATGGTGGCCTGATTTAGCAAACAAGGAGTGGAGATAAGTGTTGGAAAGAGTTTAGAAATATTTAGGAGCTAGATTTGTCAGTCCTTGGCGGTGGGTGAAAGGTAGTGATGTGGGCAAAGAGGGATAAAGCAATAGTCTTAGCTTCTTGGCTTGAGCTACCAGCTGAGTGGTGAACTTGCCTGGTCAAGTTGGATATGAATCTGTGGTACTGAGGAGAACTCTGTAAACAACATGTAGGAATCATCAGCACGTAGATGCTTTGTTTTTATTTTCTTTGGTTCTTGATGTTGAACCCAGGGTCTTTCCCTGAGACATAGTCCCAGCCTTGACTTTTATTTATTTTTTTTAAGTTTTGAGACAGGCTCTTGCTAAGTTGTCCGTGCTGGGCTCAAACTTGGAATCATCTTGCCTCGTTCTCATAGAGAGCTTGCCTCATAGGTATATGCCACTATGCCTGGGTTAGATTTTGCTTTTAATCAACTATGGAGAGGATGAAGTGGCTCCAGGATGCTGCAGAGTGACAAGAGTTACTTTGAACAGAGGACATCAAAGGAATGGGCAGGAGGGGATTTGAAAGTCCCAGTAGCTTGTAATGGCACTGCATGCAAGGAGAGAAAGAAGGGATCTTTCACTAGGGTCAGATCTTGCTGGGATACTGGGGTAAAGTGGGAACGGTGTCCACTGGATTTAGTAGTTCAGTGAGATTTCAGATGGATGGTGTAGATGGCCCACTGAGAGTTAAGGTGGGAATATTAAATATGGCTATGGATGAAGCACTGCTGGAGAAAATTTAATCCTAAAGCTAGGTCAAGGAGGCTGAGGAATTAGTGAGATACGTGTGTGTATTTGAGAAGGTAGGTAAAATATTTGGCTCAGGGAGTGATAAAATGTGCATTTTCAGAGGATATGGGTAGGTGATCCAGAGCTCAGGACAGAAAGAGATGCTTCCCTCCCACTGTGACACGTAGGGTAGAGGAAGAATGTGCACAGGCGCAGGTAACTAAGAAACTTAGCAGCAGGAAGGTTAGGGATATCTATCTAAAGGAGTTGAAGAGTCCCTTTGATACAGTTTAGCAGTTGAAGCTGATGAAGTGAAGACTAAGTTTATCTCTATGCGGCTAAGTTGGAAACCAGCACTATGGAACCCAGAGTCCATAGGGGTTCTGCGATACTCCATAATTTCCCCAAGTACACCCAGCATTCAGAAACCAGATGTCCTGTTGCAGAGTTGGCAGAGCACAGTTGGGCTCCAAGAAGTGAAGACTGGGGGCTGATGGGATAGCTCTGCAGACTAAGTGCCAGCTTAGGCAAGCACAGGGACTGGGGCTTGATTCCCAGCACCACATGCTGCACTGCCCCCGCCCAGGGTGCACTGAGCCGGCCTCAGAGACCAGGCATGGTGGTACATTCCTATAATCCCGGCTCTGGGGAGGCTGAAAACAGGAGGATCACTAGGAGTACGAGCTGCATAGTAAGACCCTGTACCAAATACATTTTAAAAAAAAGAAGAGAAGATTGGGGCAAAAGTGTGGTTAGAATGTTGTGTTTTGTGTGAGCTCAGCTGTGACTTTGGGATGGCAGTGGGTAATTATGAGGTGCACAGACCTAGAAGACAGCTGTTCAGGAGGGTGGAAGGAGAGGTGGTGCAGGAGTTGAAGGCTAAGAAGTAGTCAGAGGGGTCACGTGAGTCAGATGCTCTTTTTTTCAGCACCAATGAGCCTGGATGAATGGTAGCACATGGTAAGCTCTAGGGCATTAGTGGTGAGCCTGTGGCACATGTGCCACAATGGGCTGTTTGTATCATTGAAAACTCTAAAAGGTTGGCCATTGCTGGTTTAGGATATGACAGTTTGAGTAGGTGGTGGAGGTGGAGCAGATGTGAGCTTCCAGGGAGAGAGAGTAGGAAATTACAGGACCGAGAGCCTAGAGTGTGACACAAGTCGCCAATGCCAGGGTTGATGCCATCCTGAGTTGGGGCCTGAACAGGGGGAGGAAGGACTGTGAACCATGGCCACCAAGTCTTTAGGGATGAATAAGATAGTCAGCGAATCACTGGTACAGGGTTTTTACACAGGTGCAAACAAGCTAGAAGTAGAATTATTTGGAAAGAGAGAGGTAGGTTCTTCCTCTTCATCTTGGTATTTCAAGTGCTTGACAAAAAACCTGGCACCAACCAGGTAAGGTGCAGTGTTTTCATGGAATGAATACATGAATGAAAGTCAGTGGAGACTTCTGTTTCTTCAGAGCTTGTAGCCTAGAGTTAGTATTTTCCAGCTATGTAATTGCCAAGTTCAAGTGGTTTGTAAAAGACTCCCGGGCCTCGGGTTTCCTTAAGGACCTGTGAATATGCCCCAGTGAGCACAAAGCAGGCTGAGGTAGCATGGAGTGGGAACTGAATGCAGAGTTGTCTGCTGGATTTTCTTCTCTTGACCCTGCCCCATTCCATAGATATTACTTTCCTTTGATAAAAGAAGAACGGTGAACTGGTTATTAGCGCTATAGAATATTTTTGTTAGAGTCTCGAATTCAAAAGAGATAACCAGCTGTTCCAGGTTATACTACAAAAGAACTCTGAGTTAGATTAATCTCTAATCTCTAAAAATGATTTCCCTTTCCATAACCATCCTTTTACCCTGGCAATGAGCATTGTTTATTTTTCCAGTTTAAAGAAAATTCTGTTTCCTTATATTTTCTTGCCTATCATTTCAATGTATATTATAATTTCTGACAAACATTGGCAAGTGGGGGAATTTGATACTGGAAAATATGTTGGACATCTGAGGTGAAAACCTTAGAATAAAGTCAGGCTATGAATGTAGGCTGATTTCTTTACATTTTACTTTTAAAACAGATTTCAAATTCTTAGCATTTTCTTTTTCAGCATAACTTCTCATATTTGAAAAAAAATCAAGGATAGCAAAATTAGGATGTTTTATTTAAATTAGGTACTTAACTCTAAGAATTCCAGGAGGGTGCCTTGCATAGTAAGAGGAGAGGGTGAAGAATTCACCAATCTT